AAAAAAAAAAAAAAAAAAAAAAAAAAAAAAAAAAAAAAAAAAAAAAAAAAAAAAAAAAAAAAAAAAAAAAAAATTCTGCATTAAAGAAAGATCAGATATCCTGAAATCCTTCCGTCAGAAAAAAAATCGCGCCAACAAGAATTCTCCAACTCCTTGAGAAAGTTTTTGACATAAAACGCATTTTCCTTCTACTTTACACTTACATGTAAATTTTTTCATTACAATATCATTTGAATTCTGGAAAAGAAATTCCGGGATTGGAAAGTACTCCTCTGGAGATTCATTTAAGTATAAACTGAAGAACATCGGAAAATTTTCCTTGCGCGTTAAACTTCTATGTTTTACAGACTGTGGTCTGAATTTTTCTGGGCAATGATGACGTTGAATAAAAAGAATATTAAGATTTGTGCCGGTCTAATTTGCAATGTTGTACCTTTTCTAAATCATATCCGTAAACGTATGCATACAATTTTTTATCGCGCTGGCGAAAATAATGACCAACTATTAAGTTTGGATCGTATTTGTTTGTTATTGGTACTCCAATTGAAGGAACATATTGGTTTCTAAATTCAATTGCTCTTTTCAACAAACAATTGGAATCATGAGGCAATAACTCATATTGAGAACTACGAAGATGACAAACTTTAAAATCAGAAAAAATAGAATTAAAATCGGGATATCCAACTATTATGTAACTGATCATGCAATGGCTACTGCGCCGTCCACCTGGAATGCAACTGATAAGTATGTTTGGTCGGTTGTAAGGTGGAGAACAAAATAACCTGCAAATACAAATAGTTGCAAAAATGTGGTTATCGGATTCTTGATCCAATCTATATTCTTTTGGAATTTTTAGTCCTGTTTTAAAGTTGCGAGAAATATCTATACTACCATACTCCAATTTCTTCGTATCGTTGTAAATAATTCTCTTTCCTATTATTTTTTTAATCTCTTTTTGAGTTTTTTCATCAAACAATTCAAATATACTCATAGGTTCTAGGTATTCGATTGGTTTCCAATACTCAAAGTTTTTCAATGATTCTTCCCACTCTGGTTACAATTCAAAAATTTCTTCATCACATTTTGGGCGTAGTTCTTCTTTCCCACCGATTAAGAGAAATGCCTTGAAAATTGATTTCGCTTTTTTTGTTATCATTGGATGAACTCTGAAGTGACCGTGATTTTTCAACTATGCACAATCTACCACCAAATTCAATGCTGCAAGGGATGAATTGCCCAAATTTTTTTGTAACATTTATCAAATTTTTGACATCTTTAGATTCGATAGCCTCCTTAACTTCACCTTCAAACTCATCTGTAAATAAAATACCCTGTGGTTCTAGCTTCCAAGTTGCTCTTATATGTTTTTCATAATTAATTGAATCATGAATTTCTATGCGACTGCGATGCGTCTTTGGAGTCCTCATGTCACATTTTGCTTTGTCCAAATTTTTTTTAGTTTTGATCATTAGATTGTTTACTCGAAACACATCTACAATAGAAGAAATGGGGAATCCATCTTTGTCTATAAAGCATGGTTCTATAGATTCAAATTTACAGTCTGTGATATTAAATGCTCTCGCAGTTGCTATTTCTATGCCATTATAAGTAACTGTACGTCCGAATCCTAGTTTGAATTTTTCATCGAAGTCTCTTATATGTATTGTATTATGTTTACAATCCATAATTTCAATAAAACCCATTAAATCCTCTTCTCTTATGTCGATCACCTTTGCGCCTTTCGTAAATAACATACAATTTGACATCTTTATTTTAGCATCATGTTCGAGCAATTTTCGAAGTGCTGACAATTTATCTCTCGAATCTAGCTGCACATCACTTATCTTCTTTGGATCTGTATCGTCAACTTGAATACAAACATAATAAGTATGCGAAGGCATAAACTTATTGAGCTTAATAAAAACCATCTTGATTATGCATCTGTCGGAGAAAGATCATTATTACGTATACGATACGTAATTATTACACCAAGTACGTACTACGTAGTGACGATTATTTTTATGTTACACCGAAACTACGGATGGTTTTTGTTTTTTATTTATGATGATCGTAACTATATATAACTTAGGTATCAAAAGTTGTCTTTGTTTGATCAGATTAAATTCGGCATTTTCTTATTGCGATGGAATGCGAAGATAAGGTAGATATAGTTCGAGAGTGGAAATTAAATTATGGATTATTCTTGAAGGGCAATGATTTTAAACCAGCCGAAAAACCTATACTTAACGATGGCGAAGAATTGTCTATTATAGAATATGACGGAGAGCCGTTAGTATATGTTAGCTTTAAACATGTCAGATCTTCGGGCGCTCAAACTACTGGAACGGAAGACCTCAAATCTTCTTGGGAGTTACTGAAAGACACATACAATTTAGAGTTTCCTAAGGTCGTAGAGAGTGAAACTGTCTTTAACATACCAGAATCTGATGCGTGTATTTTATTTCCAATAGCCAAAGTCACCTACAATGGATCATGTGATATTCCAATAGAGTTCAAATCGCAATTATCTTTGTTTCAAGAATACGGTAATTTTGTCGCTCGTAAATTGCTTGTCGGAGGTAAGATTTATATCCGGAATTTTATCAATGCAAAAGGTACGCAAGTGAATGAATTAAAAGCACATTTGATGTGGGCGTTCGAGGCGTCACGCATGTCGAGAGAGAATTTATTTGAAGGTGTTTCAATATCCCATCTTCCGATGATTGAAACAGATAAAGAAATTCTTCAAACTCCCAAAAAGTTGATGGAATGGTTTAGGAGTTTATATGAAGAGAATTTCGCAGAAATAATATCTTATGAGGAACTAACTCCAGTTCTCGGTTTAATCACTGAAGCTCATCAAGATTCCTCCATTAGTAATTCGTTTATTAAGAGGCTAATACCAGGTTTATCTCGACCGTTTATGGAGGTTAAACTATATGATTGGGCTAAAGACGCAACTGCAGCTAATTTGCTCACGTGGATAGAGAAATTTAAAGTATCTCACGGCATATTAATCAACTCACATGATATTTCATTTAGTAAAGAATGTATCGTTGATTTTACCCAAAATATTGACATCTCTTCAAAAAAGGGGGAGTTAAATGTACGTGTTGTGTGCCCAAATACGGATCTGGATGAATACCTTCTCAATAACCGTATTACTTATTCTTTTAATGACCCCGACGAATTATTTCTCAATAAAGATAACATTTTTAGTAAAGTAAATAGAAATTCAGCTTCTATCTCAAACAGATCAACGAACATTTATTGTATATTTGAATATGAAGCGGTAGAAATTAATATTCGAAAAGAATTTTATAAAGTGAAAGATGAATTCATAAAGACGGTGAACAAAGCATTAGACAGCATGAGACCATACCAAGCTCTTCAAGATATATTCGGAAAATTCGGACACCTTTGGCCGCAAAAGATTATATTGGGTAAAAGATTCTTTCAAAAATATAGTCGAAAAATAAATCCGGACAAATATCTACGCTCAGAGGGAATGACAATGAAATCTCAGGAAGACATTGAGAATTTTTTTTTCGCAACACCCTCTGATGGATTCGAAGCATGTTTTATTATCTAACCAACAAAAAATCGAGAATAGCAAATTGTTCAATTGTTTTAGCAATAATAATCGTGATGATTATAAATCTTGGGAGGTTATTAGCTGGGATGATATTATTCCGTTATATGAGACATTAGGAAATGAACAAAAGAGAAGAATAGATATCATATTAAAAAACAAGTTGAAAAAAATTTTTTTTGATGACAGGAATTACAGAGAGTATTTCAAAGGAGGACAATCAAGAGCAACACATACGGGTTAATTTTGACGAATCATTTGAGGATGATAATTTTGAGGTATATGGTTCGGTCGTAGATGAAAATTACGATAAATTGGATGATTTTATAGTAAAATTTAGACTATTTGATTACTTCGGGTTTTCGGCGTTCGTCACCGCAAATAAAAAAGAGATAAATTTGTAAATATTTTATACTCTTTCTTATCATGCTATTTAAATGATATATTAATATATCTATTTTTACATTTAAAAAAGTCAAATTTTGTGGATGGTCGTGGGGAAATCTTCCGATTTGTACGTATTCAGCAAAAATCACCGCGAAAGAGATATATTATCCTGCAAGCTGCAATTGGAATTGCTTCCTAAAAATTATTCAATTTATTATAAAATCCCCATCCCTTTGATACGTGGATGTGTAATACTATTTAATATTACGTATCCACAAACAAACCATGAACCGACATTTAAAGTTAAGCTAAAAAAGTGGTGGTATTGTTTAATTCAACTCGAAATAACCTATATGAAAAATATGGATGAAAAAGGCGACAGTTTTAAAGGCACGCAATTGAATGCTTGCATTATATTTCCAAACAGCGGCGAAAAGATTTTTATGGAGAACTCACTCTGAAAGAGTTTTTGAATTTAAATCTCTTGGCGACATAGTTTATTCAAAAAACTACGACAAAACATTGCCTTTTACTTATTTTCTTAACAATTATGTAGACAGAATACCCAATTTTAAGAATGAACGACTTATTCGGACCGGTATCGATAATATATGGATTCTGGCAACATTAGAATCGGATAATAGCCCGTTATTTATTAAAGTGACTTTTAAGGAAGAGTCATTAGCACCATATAATTCCTATTATAAGATATCTGGAAATGAAATTTTTTTTAATAGATTACAACACATAAATTTATTGTCATCATTTAAATTCACCCCAGAGAATGATTTCATAATTATATATACGAAAATTGAAAATCAAAATGGTGCACAATTTCAGAATATCGCAAACGACAAACAACCTTCACAAACTACATGGAAAACAATATCTGACCATATAAAATCGAGCGGAATATTAAATGAAGATCAGGCAAAAAGTATTATAAAGCAAATTTCAGAATGTATTCTTTCAAGACATACATATATCGGCATATCTGACAAAACAATTCTTGTTACTGAGGACCTAAAAAAGGTACCAAATTTCATTAATTATTGTGAAGGATATTTAAACGGATATTGTTATGTACTTTTGATCTGCTCACTTGTTTTTAGGTTAAAATTCCAATTTCAGAAAATGAAATCATTGATTTTGAGTTTCACGAGAAGTTCGACTTTAATTCGAACACAGGAAGTTCCGATGATATTGCATGTATGAAAGTTAAATTTTAAATTGATTACTTAAACAAATAACCAACAAACCTTTAATAAAATTCGACAGATATATCGCCAGAAATAATTATTAGACGAGAACTTAAATCAGAACAATCCAGTGTTTGGTCTTTGGGAATACTACTTTATTTAATGCTCCATGGAAGTTTTCCGTTCTCTGACTGTCAAGAAATAATTACTGCGTCTTTTAGTATAAATAAGGAAATTAGTTTGGATTGTAAAATTCTTCTTTTGAGAATGCTTGAAAAAAAGCCTCACAATAGAGGAACAATAAAAAGCATAGTCAATAGTTCTTGGATAGTTGGTTATTCAAATTACGAATATTTATTAGGTCACGATAGCCTAAATAAAATAAGCGGAATCTTCTGGATCGATCAACTTATAAAGAGTAGTCAACAGGAATTCTTCGTCACAGAGAAGATGCCAATTAGTTGGATTCCTTATACTTTATTCAGAGACGTATTTAAAATTCCAAAAGGCACCTTTCCTCCGATTTATTTTGCTAAATTGGAAAATAATTACTTGGTGACTGGTTTTGCAACAAAATACGTGGATGGATATAAATTATGTTTATTAAAATCATATGAACGCGATTTTAAAGAGCTAGATACTGATAAAGTAAGTTAACCATATGTCAGTTTTGGTACCATTAATAATTGGAATTTAGAGATATTTTATAAGTAAAGTCATTCGATATTGGTAACCGATATATGATTAATTAATCCAAATTATTTATATATTATAGTTAAAGTTTTATCCATTTTTAGGTGGATTATGGGGTAATCTGGATTTTTATGGAATAACTGAGATTCCAATGGGTTCATATCCGGCATTCGTTCTACGATATACTGAAAACGGCTCTTTACATCAATATATGATACATAATTTTTCCTTAATGTCTTGGGAAGATAAAATTAATATTTCAATGGACGTTATAATCGGTCTTTATGGGATTCACTCAAACAGATTGGTGCATGGCAATCTTCATCCGAAAAATATTTTTTACGGTTCAAAATTAGCATATATTGGAGGTTTTGATTTATTTACATATAGTCATTTTGAAATTAACAACCATGAAATCAAATTTTTGGCACCTGAAGTACTTGATAGCGGGGAATGCACAACAGCATCCGACATATATTCATTTGGGATTATTTTATGGTTTTGGGGGTCAGGTATACTTCCTTATGATGATAGAGAAAATGATGATAATTTGATATTAGCTATACGCCGCGGAATGCGACCAGAAATTACCGATTGCATGCCAAAGTGTTATGTTGATTTAATGGAACGTTGCTGGGACGTAGAGCCATCAAATCGTCCAACTGCCAAGAATATAATGGATATTATATTTGAATGGAAACTGAAAAATAATTCCGAATTTGAGTATGCCGAGTATTTTAGAAAGGAGGATTTATATCATTCAATAAAATTCTCGAGGATTTCCAATTCCTTTAGAAGTGAAATCATTGAAGGTTATCCGTCGGAAATTTTCAACCTTTCTACACGACAAAAAAATAACGATATTTTATTTTGAATATCTCATTAATGCTTAAAGTTTAAAACAATAATCTGATTGTTTTTTAGTAAAGAATAATATGAAACTATTTGTTTCTCTTTTTCATACATTATACTATACACATATATTATATATTTATATTTAATAATTCTACAAAAAAGCTGTTTTGACAAATATTATTTATATTCCTTTTGTTTTAATATATTTTATTATCTATAATATTTTTTCGATTTTATATACAGTGCTTACAAAAATTTGGAATCAGTTATTATGCTTCTATTAAGAACTTTAAACTTAATAATTTTTAAATTTATAAACATGCTTATAAAAATTATGAAATATAATATCCACGTGTTTATTTGATCCATCTCTAGATACAAAATTGTACATTGAACCCTTAGAGAGGACTTCCATTACATAGCATCCATATCAATAGAATTATACTCATTATATATTCACCACTCTTTAGCTTTATCACGAAAGGGGGAATTAGACATACAGTATAGATAAAGTTTTTTGTCTTCCCATTGACTAACCATTATTTACTTTTCAAAGGCAGATAGCTAAGTAATAGAATTCTGGGTTTCATTATCAGAAAAGGGTTCTATTTATAGTATATTGAAGTTAAAAATTATAGATATATTCAAAATAGTCATGAATATTTTTTGCAGTAATAATTGTAGTGGTAAAAATATTATTGAGAGAAGTAGAAGTAATAATATAAATAATAAAAAGAAAGTATTAAATTAATAAAAGAAGTAAAAAGAGATTAAATATATAAAAATTTATTGAAAAATAAGGATTTTATAATAATATCAAGTCTTAAGAGTTTCTAAAGTCAAGTAGCCTACAAAAGGCATATAATTAGTAAGTAAATAAGAAGAGTTAAAAGAACTAATATCAAACAATTTAAATTAAATAAAGGTAGATATGATTTTAAAATAAATATTATCAAAAAATGAATATACAGTATATCAATCTAATAATAAAATTAATTCTTTCAATAATAATAGTTTCATCAAAAATAATAGCCCGTTATTTATTAAAGTGACTTTTAAGGAAGAGTCATTAGCACCATATAATTCCTATTAT